GAGAACCCTGGGATAGACATTAGTATACATTTATCAGAATATATCTCGGGCTCTTCACGACAGCGAGGTATGTCAGGGCCATGACCAAATGCAAAAACATTGTATTGAGGTCGAGATTACCCTTAGCCCTCTCACCTTCCCTTTATAGGGCCCCTTTCCTTCTCCTCCATGGCCTCCTGCTTATAACTTTAGGCATCCTATCTCCTCAGATAGCATCACAACCAGGTGCCTGGCCCTTGGCACCACAGAGGCTCCACAGATGTCCTGCTGCAGACTCCCTGTCTCCCCCTCAACCCCCAAAGCCTCTACTCTCAATTCTTGATTCTGAGTTTTATCACGAGATCATCTATTTCCAATAAAGAAACAGAACATATAGCACGTTTAGGATTAGCATATTAGTGAGAAGGGATTTTAATCCAAAAATATATATTCCTAAGGTTGGACTGTCAGGCATCATAACAAACATATATATTATCACTGGACTGTGGCTCCCAAGCTTCAAAAAGCCTTGAAGAAACTAACTAAACCCATAATCTCAATAAAAGCAAACAGAAACTATTAGAGAAAGGAATGATCCAAGCTTTAAGGTTTGATTGGCTTCCTAGTGATCTGAGAGCTTGAACAGTCCCTGTAAGATGGATGTGAAAACACTGATAGTTTTCTAGAATCTCATAGCACTCTCTTGCAAATAAATGAAATAACATACAGAAACCACTTAACAGAGTACCTGGCACATGGGGGTATTCCATAAATGATAGCTCTATTCTTATACAAACGACCTTCTCAAGTAGATGAGTTAGTTGTCAAGAAAGTTCTGTCTTACAGTGAGAAGACCATTGTATATGTCTTGTGAAAACAAGACTTGGACTTGCCCCCTACATGCCTTTCAATGTGCCAAGTAGGAGACCTCCTCTGCCACTGCAGGACAAAACCAACTGCCCTGCCGGCCACAACCCTTTCCAGGGATGACCCCTTGGGCCCCACAGGAGGTGGGCAGAAAGGGAACCAAGTCGTGCAGTGGAGAGGGTGGAACATGGCCTGCTCAGGGAAGATAACTGATCACAGGGACAATTACATAACTGATCAATTTCCAAACACAGTGCCCCATTACTGTCATACCCAAAAGTCATTAACTGTAGGGTCCTCACATGACTGAAGACAGTAAGCTCAAAGATACACTTTTTGAGAGCTGAAGACCACATGACAGGCATTGGCAGACATCTCTACCCAGGAAGACCCCAACCATTATGAATGTTGGCACTTTCCTTCCCTATCCTCTCTCTCTCAGCTTTCTGCTCTCATTCTGCCTTCCCTTCCACAACACAGATGTCGGTGGTAATAACTACTGTATAAGCTATTGCTGAAACTGAAGGAGCTGTAAATACTGGTCTAAGATATAGGTAGTACCAACTCATAAATAAGTGAAATTCCAAAATAACTCACATGTTCGGAACTGGGATGCTTGCCTGCATTAAGACGATGCTATAAATGCTTGTTAGGGCCCCACAACAGCCCATTCCACAATGTAGGTGAAACACTCTCCATACCCATCTATAATATAAAACGTAGAAAACATAGCTTTTTTCCCCCTCTCGGCTCAGAATTTGTGTTTTTAAACCATCTTCCAGCTCCAGTTGCTCCTGAGAATGGCCCTCTTTAATTTTAGCCAGCCTGACTCCGAAATTTATTCCTAAATCTTACACATGATTAAAGAGAAAGGGTGATATGATGTCAAAGGGAGAATGGAATGTGCGCTGAGGCAAACAGCGCCCCCTCCACGTACTGCTGACCACCACCGAAGCTGAGAGAGAGGCATGGACAAAACTGCCTCGAGCCCCCGGGATGAACCAGCCCTGCCTGCTTCTTCATTCCTGACTTCCGGGGGACTGTGAGAGAACACATTTTGGATTGTGTTAGGCTATCTAGTTTGTAGTGATTTGTCACAGCAGCCCTAGGTAACTGATAAAGAAAGTGAATCCCTACAGTTTGGAAATTTGGCAGGAGGGTAGGCACCAGAAAAGAAAATAGACTTTCTCTCTGATACGTCTGTACTGTGTTCTCTCTCCCCTGTTCAACAGCTTTCCCAAATATCTTTTCACTGGCACCGGTTTGTGTGGCCACTGGAAGCTTTCACCTCCTGTTCTGCTCCTGCGCTAACAGCTGAAAAGCACCCTCAGAAGCTACTGAAGATGGAAAATGAGTGGAGTGAACAGGGGGAACACATTTGCCTTCAAGAACAGGGGCAGGAAATGTGGAGGGACGTGTAAGCGCTGTTTCCAAGCTTTAAGCCAAGTTCAGTGTTTCCCAAGTAGTTGAACAGGCAGGAATGCTGCTTACTTCCCAGAGGTTAGTCGACATCCCCGCAGGATCCCCTCTACCAACCATGGTCCTCAGAGCCCTGAAGTCCTGTAATTCATAATCCCCTACAGTCTGCAGAAGGCTGCTTCAGAGTGTGTGTGTGTGTGTGTGTGTGTGTGTGTGCGCGCGCGTGCGCATGCACGCACGTGCAGGGGTGTGGCTATGGGTGTGTGCATGTATGCACACTTATGGATGCATTTACACACCAAGGTATATTTTCCCTTTTGGCTATTATCTTACCAGACTGTACACCCTTTATACTTCTTTCCTTTGTTCTCTCTCTTTTGCTTATTTCTTTCTTTCTTTATGTCTTCAAAGAGCAGGTAGAGAATGTCTTAAACACTTGCTAGTACCGGAATGGGAGGAAAACAACCATGGTCTAATGGGTTTCACAGCTTTGTCTGGGAGAGACCCTGGTATAACCTCAAATATTCATCAATAGAGAAAACTAGTTTTCATTCATAGTCAACACATATTTATTGAGCGCCTGGATATGAGAAGCAGTAGCTTATTTTCTGGAGATACAGCGATAGAAAAAAATAAACAAAAATGTCCCTTGCAAAGCTTAAATTCTAGTGGAGTAGACAGAAAATAAGCAAAGTAAATACAGTGGTATGTTTGTGATAAGAGCTAAGGAGAAAATATAAAGCAGAGAAGGAAGCTGGAAAGTATATGTAGGGGGTGGGTTAGTGACACTTTCAATAGGTTGTCCAGAGTACGCCTCAACGAGCAGGTGATATTTGAGCAAGCCTAAAGGAGGGAAGAGCATTCTAGCAGAGGGCCCATCATGTGCAAAGGCCCTGGGGTATAAGCATGGCTAGCACACCTGACGAGGAGTGAGGAGACCAGTGTAGCTATGGGGAGGTCGGCTGCAGGTAGCAGAAGATGAGGTCAGAGGTAACAGAGGCCAGATTATGTCAGGCCACATAAGGCACCAAGGGAACAGATACTTTTACCCTGAGAGCTTTGAGGAACTGTTTAAAGATTTTAAACACAGTTAGCCCTTAAAAGGCTGCAAGACCTTTGGTGGGTCATTGATCTGAGCATCAGTTTTCCTGCCTTTAAAATGCAAAGGCTGTGCCAGGTAAATATCAAAGTTCTCTTCCAGCTATAAAAATTGATTGCTAGACATGTGAGAATGGTACGTTCCACAGGCAGATGGCTAATAAAAACATGACCTTCCTCCCCGTTTCTCTGCCGGAGTTGACAGCAGTGACCCGGCACAGGCTTGGAAGGAAGCCTGGCTGTTCGCACAGCCGTTACTACATAGGTAAGACGTTTGATGCACGAAGCATTTGGAAATTGGGATTTTGAGACTGTAGTGAACTACTGATGCCCAGCTTAGGCTCCCAGGAGCGCTTAGGGTGCCCTGAACGAGACTGGCGCGCTCAGCTGCGCACCCCATGCCCTGCTGCCTATCGCCTGCTCAGGGACTGGGGCACGCTTTAGAAAGAACGAAGCGGCGGCGAAGAAAAAAAATCAAATATCGTTAAATAAAAATCTAAAAAAACAACCATTCTCCTTTCTAATTATTTCATATCATGCATGGAATATTCGCTTTAATTTTCAAGTCCGTTTGCTTCATTTCCCTGAACCATAAGAACTTTGCACGGTGTCCGCCCAGCACGTTTTCTGTCTAAATATGCCAGTGTGTGTGTCTTTTCACTCCCCTTTATTTTTTTTTGCTCTTTTGTCTGTTCAACTCCCAGGAGAGCTTTTAGCTTAAAGCTCCCGAAATCCCACAGCAACTTTAGCTAAACCATGGAGCAGAGGCTCCTGTTGTTTTCTTCGGTTTATTTGGTTGTTTTAAATACCTCTTCTTCTCAGTGAATAAACCAGAGCTCCAAGGACAGTCTCCTAGCTTCCCAGAGAAAAGCCACAACTGTGTAATGCTCAGCTCAGTCCCGTGTTTATAAACTTGCAATTCTACTAAGCGCCCCTTGTATTTCTGTGTCACCGCCGCCTCCGCCAACACTGCCTCAATAGCCGTACTACTGGCCTCTCAGAGCATCTTTAATAGCGACTGGAAGGTTTAGGAAGCCTCCCGATGACAGTAGGGTCCTATTCCTCACAATTATATTCTAAGAATATGGCCGAAGTGCTAGAAAACATGCAAAAAATAAAACCACAGTGACTCTGGATTCTAGACACCTCACTGTGAAGAAAGACTAATAGGCCGCAGTGGCTTCATCGCCTCTTACATCGCGTCTGCACAGCGCCCAAAACATAGTAAACGCTCCCCGAGGGTTCCGTAAGCAAATGACGAAGGAGCACTTGCAAACACCACTGAAAGGCTCACCTCCTTCCCTGGGCATGCACGCACATGACCTTGCTCGTTACAGTTCAGATGGATCCATGAGCCATGTGCATGTCAGAGTGCCCCAGGGGACTGACTGAGGACAGAGTGCCACCGACATAATCGGAGGCCACCAAAAGCAAGAACACAGTCCCAATCCCACCCAGGCTGCCTAGCAAGAGCTTAGTGTCAACAAGAAAGTAGACGAGAGACAATATACTCCTCCAACTTATTTCCTTCACACTTTCTTCACCATCTTTATCATTTGGGTCCAGACGGCAAGAATGACAGACACAGGCTTTTACTTCAGGCCGGACTCCATCCTGGTCCCAGGCGTCTGTCTTACCTCGGCAGCAGGGACTCCCTCGGGTGGGCGGCAGTGCAGCACGATCATGCCTTCGATGGGAACCTCCCTTCCCTGCGGGTCTTGTTCGAAATTCTTCCGTAAATCTGCAAAGAAGTGGGAGATATATGACATTTGGCTCAAGGGCCGGAATTATTCACATTTGCTCCAAATACAATAAAATAGGCAGCTTACTGTCAAGACCTAGATACGCACAGAAAGTCATTGTTTCAGGAGTTCAAGAATGAGAGATTCATTTTCCCCAAATATGCACCAGCGCATTTGAAATAAACCTTGACAAAACTGTGCTTAATGCTCTATATTGATGAGAGGGTAAAAGATTTACTGGGGAGCCAAAAAAAACAAAACTCATCATTTCATGAGTCTTTGCCAGCATTATCTGCTTAGCAACAGATGAAACACTTGGCCTAATAAATTGCCATCCACAGCTATTATGCAGCTGAGATGAGTGTGAGATATTTTTTTTTTTTATTAACAAAAGAATACATTATTAATCTGTAACCTCTGCCATTCCCTTAACCCTCTAGGGGGCTCTAGAAGATGATAATAGAGTGGTATTACCTATTAGTCTTTTCTTTGTAACCAGGGAGAAGGGGCCACATTGAACCACAGCAAAATCTATAATCTAGCCAACCAAACACATAATTAAAAAACGCAGTGCCCTCTGTTCAAACACAAATGCTGGGTATCTGTGTAGTGCCCTTCACGGAGGGCTCCAGGCACTTTGCAAACAAGCTGCACTGTTAACCTTTTTACACATGGAAGGGAGATGCCTGGAGAGGTTAATTGGCTGGCCAGTGGTCACAGAGCATCTCTGCCAGTGACGGGGGAAATTCACCGAGCTTCGGGACAGCTAGGCCTGGCCTCGCACCAGCAAAGCTTTCTCGGGAAAGGGACGCGTGGGCAGTTCAGAAAGAGCTTCATTTGCATGGCTTTCCACTTGAGCAGGTGCTTCATTAACAACAGGGGGACCTGACCTTTGCTTCCTTGGAGGTGTCATAATGACACTTTAATAATTTTACAGCACCAGCTAAATTCTTGCAGTCACTCCAAAGCCTGGGACAGGAGTGCGCAGGCAGTTTTACAAGCGCCCTCTCCATGCAAATGACTCCCCCTCCCGCCCCGACAGCGCATTTTTCTTCAATGGAGTATCTCAAATTACAGGCTGTGGATTTATTGATTTAATTTTCTTCGGTGCTTACAATAACATGAAATATGTTCCCTGTAAAGAGCAGAGCTCCAGAATCAGTTACATCTTTATAAATTTCATAAATACATTAAACTTGCTTTTAGCAAGTCAAAAGCACTCGCTGTACAACAAGCACAGCAATCCTTGTGCTCACTTGCTTTGGAATTTTACTCTTAATGTTCTCCCTCCCAGAGGCAGCCGATGTCTTTTGTCAGTGGTGCTATATATTCAGAGATCTGCACAAGTATATACGAGGCAAAAGATCCTAAAAAGACTTGCGGTGCAGACAGATGGCAGGGACCATCCTCCTATTTCTCTGTTGCCCCCCAAATGGTAAAGCGAGTGTACTGTTGGAGATCCGCATATTGTTACAGCCTTTATGATTCAGAATTTCTGACTCCAAGAGTGAGGAAGGTCACATAACTATGACAAAACTGTGAATGAAGGGGCTGTTGAGTAACGCTGGGATAAAAATAATCTCACGTTTCCTCCACAATCTTACCACAAATTCTCCTTTGCTCTCCCTACAAAAGATCTTTGAGTCAAAAACCCCTCTTCTACATGACTTGCTTATTTATCAGAACCATACAGAAATTAGTCTGTCATAGGGAGTGAGTGACTTACATGTGACATCCGTTTGCTAATGGAAAAAGTAGTGGTTTTTTTGTGTGGTAAATTTTGTTTGGTGTGTTTGCCATTTTTTTTTCTTTTCCATGTTTACTTTGTTTTTTAAAGGAAGTCTCACTCAGTGATGCTAAATAAAAATTGCAGGTTGACAACACCAAAGTGTGTAATAAACCAGATGAAGGATAGAAAAACAACCGTTCGATAAATAGATAACTAAATATGTATATAAAAAAGGAAAACCCTGTATTGACAATGGGCTATAGGAAAGGGTATTATCTATCCACAAGAGACTGAGAACTTCTAGAAGCTCTCATACAGCCAAGATCAGTTTGAAGAAAGGACCCATCCAATCTCTTACTCTTCCCAACTGACTTTTGCAATCACTGGAAGAGTTCTAACAAGGAGCATATTAGCACCTCTCGGTGGGAAGACACAAATATTAAAGGCAATGGAGAAGGGGCTTAGGGAACAACAGGGGTGTCATATATCTGGATCCAACTCCTAACAGGCAGCCATTCATGCACCAGATACCACACCAAGTGAAAAACCCAAGTATTACCAGGACCTAGCCTGCACCTAACGCTGGTGGCAGGGATCCTGCTGTTCCTGACTTCCAAAGAGGGCAAACATACCATACAAATTTGAGCTAGCTACTGAATCTAATGAAAATTATGGAAATACATTCTTAGACTCAGAGATAAATGCTTCCAGCTCTACCTCTGATTCCCACCAGAGGTCACCCAACCTAATTGGTTTCTGAATTGTCAAACTAAATACATTTATCACCTATGTTAGTTCCAAGGCTTGAGAGATTCAGATGGGAACCTATGCAACTTCTCATAGTAGGGAAAACATCCCCAGCCACATAAAAAGAATTATAATACAAACGAAGGAGACAAACCGTAGAACTGAAATTAAATGTCTTCCTCTTAGGATAAAAAACAAGAGGCATTTTTAGATAACTTGTAATTTAAGCTCTTTAAAGTCAAAAGGATATAGCAACTGAGAATCTAAAGTAGGAAGTTATAAATAGGAGAACATCTGATATCAAGGAAATTGCTACTATGCAGGAAAAGAAACAAATAACAAAAGTGCTGAATTGTAATATATCTGTCATAAAGATGGCAAATAGCATGCTGAATATTGCAGAAAACTGAGCCAATGAAACAAGAGACAGGTGTGTCAGTCAGGATCCAGGCTGTAAAACAATACACACCAGTTGTTTTAAAAGAAAAATATTAAGGTAAATAATTGTAGGAAAAAAAGGCAACAGGGGAACTGCTAGAAGCAGGTCCCACCCTAGAAAGAGGGATGGAGGAACAGAAAGGAGAGGTCGGGGTTGTAGAACTCTGAAGCTTAGGGAGAGATCAAATGTCCAAGGAGAGGCTACTGAGTGGTGCTAGTACCTCTGAAGTTATGGAGCTGAGACCCAAAGCCCTGATGAAGGATTGCCCACTAGACTGGTGCTGGCATCTCTAGGGGGTAAGATTAGGCTGGTTCTGGAAGCATATAAAAAAAAAAGCTGGAAATAAGAAGCAACTGCCACTTCCAAGGTAAAGAAACCCTGCTGAGATGATATCAAAGGGACAGGAAATGAACAGGAAGGAGCATCCTTTCTCCCTCTTCCACTGGCCAGCCCCTTCTGGGGTCCCTGTTGGTAGGTGGATCTGGCAAGGGAGTCCCAGCCCCAAGCTTCACAAATTAGGGACCAGTGGTTTTACAGGTGGGAAATAATAGCTTGGTAACCAACAAATCCCAGTTTAAGAAATGTCCTCCAGTAGAGCTCTTATCACTGGTTACTCCATATCTGTTTTTCTCACTAGCTCTAGTTCTATGAAGGTAGATTTATGTCTGAGATGTTCCCCACTATGTCTCCAGTGCCTACTGTATATCAGATACAGGACAGAACCTTAATAAATACACGTTGAATAAGCAAGTTAAGAGAAAAATAATAACATGATAATGAATTTACCAGAAAAAATGAAAGAAATAACAAAAGATAATGCTGAGATAGAGAAATATAATACTAAATATAATAGGAATTTTAGGAGACAACAAGCTGAAAGAAATAATAATTGGTACAATAATAATTATTATTCTCTGAGCTAGAAAAAGACTTGTGTTTTCAAAAGAGTCACTGGATACATGGCAAAATAGTTTTAAAAAGAAAAAAGATAGTAGATATATCATAGTTGAAATTTTGAATTTTAACATCATTAAGAAAAATTTAAATAGTATTTTATAAGTTTATTTGTAGGAAATAAACAAACAGAAGTAACTAGCAATTTCATGGATAGGAATAATTAATGTTAAAATTTCTAAACTATCCAAAGCCATCTGTAGATTCAGTGCAATCTCTATCAAAACTCCAATTTTTCACAGAAATATTAAAACAAAATCCTAAAATTCACATGGAACCACAAAAGACCCTGAAGATCAAAAGCAATCGAGAAAGAAGAACAATGCTGAAGGCCTCACACTTCTTGATTTCAAACTTGACTACCAAGCTTAAGAGGCCAAGAAAGTATGGTACTGGAATAGAAACATATATATAGGCCAATGAAGCAGAATTAGGAGTCCAGAAAGAAAGCATCAAATAAACGGTTAAGTAATATTTGACAAGGGGACCAAGTACATTAGATAAGGGAAAGGTTGATCTTCAATAAATGACACTGGAAAAGCTGGATATTCACATGCAAAAGAATGAATTGGACCCCTAGCTTATACCATTCACAAAAATTAACTCAAAATGAGTTAACTTAAATGTCAAGACCTAAAACAACAAAGCTCCTAGAACACAGGGAAAAATGCTCTTTGACACTGGTTTTGACAACAATTTTTTAGATATGACAGCAAAAGCACAAGGAACAAAAGTATAAATAAATAAATATCACTATATCAAAATAAGATGTTTCGGCACAGCGAAAGAAATGACCAAAAAGTGAAAAGGCAACCTACAAAATAGTATTTGCAACCACATGTCTGATAAAAGGTTAATATCCAAAATATAAAAGAAATTCGTTCAACTCAAAAGGAAAAATACAAACAATCCAATTGAAAAAAATAATAATAAGGCAAAGGACCTGAATAGACGTTTTGCCAAAGGCGGCATACGAATGACCAACAGGCAAGCACATGAAGATGTGCTCACCACTGGTACTCACCCGAGAAATGCAAATCCAACCCACGGTTAGGTGTCCCTGCACCCCTGTTAGAACGGCTGCTATCCAAAAGACAGGAGAAGTGCTCGTGAGGATGCGCAGGACAAAG